GGAATCATTTTGATATTATTTTATCCCAAATACCCAAAAATTATCCGACATACCCAAAATCAAGAGCTGGTATGAAGTATATACCCAAAATGTGGAGAGATAATCAAACGAAAGCGGACAAAGACAAAGAGTGAGGTCTGAAGAAAATGCGGAGGAAATAAGTAATTCTTCTCTTGTTTCTTTCAAGTATCCTTCTAAAATAGCTTTGATAAATAATCGAATACTTGCTAAAGAAGAAACATTTCTGTACCTCACTCCCATTTTTTCTCTAGCTATGGCTAATTAAACAGAGAACATTTGTCTTTTCATGTTTTTTCAAGTTGTAAATTTGCTAAACCAGACTCATCCTTTCTGCAGTTTTATCTTGTCATGTTTGTTGTCACTGAGTTGCCTGACGGGCTATCTCTGTTTTCTTCGTTCTTCCTTCTGTCGTGTGCCTCTCCCGGTAACCTTCGAGAAAACAAAAGTATAAAAGATTTTATGTATCCACTGTTGCGCAATAGCTTTGAGCCTCATGGTCCAATAGTGTTAGCGTATGCATACTAGATGAGGACAAAGACTTATCAGCTAAAACGAGTTAAAAAGCAATACCCTAATTGCAAAGTTGTGTCTGAATCGGTCTTCTGGATGTCTCCCAAGCAAGTGTGGTTTAGGAGAGAGTTCTTGGGATCTTCAGCGAAGCATTTGATGTAGGATGGAACATAATTTTGGCTAAATGACGGGAGAAAGCTTCTGAGTTCTTGAACCTATTTCAAGAGATGATTAGAAGTCAGAGAAACAAGATTTCATGACCCGAGATGATTCAACGAAAACTATAACAAAGGGACCGTTTCCATTCACCTGTCGACGTAAGGTCTCATTTTCCAGCTCTGCTCTCTGTTCCTGCATTTAAAGTAAATAATTCTGGATGGTCAAGAAAAGAAATGTACACAAGCTAGTTAGTTAGAGCATGAACTCTCCAAAGCTATATAGTGGCCGGACACGAGTTTTAACACGGTTCAAAATCATGTGATCACATAAGCTTACATGATTTTGCAGTAATTAGGAAGATAAACAAGAAAACTAAGCTAATGTTGTATATAACTCAAGCATTACCTTTAGCCTCGATTCTTCAAGTTGGTAAGTCAACAATTGTTCCTGAAATCAAATCACATAACCTTTATAATGAATATGCAAACAATGGTTATGAAAAAAATGAAATGAGGAAGAGTGATATTACTAGTTAATTTACCTTTCGGTCTCTCACAGAAATCAATGCATCATTGAGTTGCTTCTCAAGGTGTTGCAGCTCTTTCAAGCTCAGAATATTTAGCCCCTTACCTTGAAGTTGTCTACAGAACACACGAAGACAAAAACCCATATATAAACACAAAACTGGTCGGTGATTAAAGGAAGAATCATATAAAAAACAACCAAAATGAGATTAAGCTAGTGTTGTTGCATACAAATGTTTCTCTTGAAGCTTTGAAATCTCATCCTTTAAAAGATCCACCTTTGTACAACAACCCTCCTGGTCCTATAAATAGCATAAATATCAGATCTTTGATGCATCAAAAACAAAACAAAAAAAGCACAAGAATTTGCTCACCTCTGCTTTACAATCAATCAGAGAAGCATCTGACGAAGACGAAGAAGAAGAACTCTTGTAGTTTCCGTATCTCGAAAGTATTTTCTTCATACT